GGTCTTTTTTTTGTTTGTTTGTTTTTTGTTGTAGGGGGGATATTTGTTGCTGGTTATGTGTTTTTTTGGGTTAAAATCAGTCTTTCTTCTCTGCAGTCAATCGCTGGTGTGGATGGCGAGGGTTTGGATCCAAGGCAGCCATATAACCTGAAAATACCAGAATACACGAAACAGGTTTGTTAAAGAGGAACGTACCTCAGCAAGATGATTCCTTGCTTGCGCCCTTACAAAACTAATGATTTGTTTCAGTTGAATGGCGATATTAAAGGTCTTCGTATTGGTCTCGTTAAAGAAGGCTTTAATCCAGAGTTTGAGCCCGACGTAAACGATCTGGTTCGAAAATCAGCAGAACGACTTGTTGAAATTGGTGCAGTAGTTGAAGAAGTGTCGATACCATGGCACAATGACGGTAAATAGGACTTTACTTAGCGCACAATCTTGACTTTAATGTGTATCGTATTCACGACTCGCTTGGGATTCTAAAGAGGTCTCTTATACTATTGTAATACATTATTTCACACCAACAGGTGAAGTTGTCTTTTTTGTTATTTTCCAAGATGGGATGTTTGGAGGTTCAGGTAAGATTACAAAACCAAACAGCATACTGAAAAAGCAATGATTATTGTTATTTAATAATTTCAGCATTGGCTGATACCAGTGCTCTCATGTACTATGATACACRACTAAAGCAAGCAACTGCTAGAGGAATGAAGGCACATCCCAATGATCATCCACCTAMTATTGATATGTGCCGTATTGCAGCAAGGTACAGTTTCTCAACATAGCTTCCCAATCCAATGCAGGAACCACCAATGTCAGAAGAACAATCAATCAATTCATTTCATTTCATTAGATACATACAAGAGGACTACAATGGGATATTCTACAGCAAGGCACAGAATTTAAGACGTGAATTGAAAAACGCATACGATGAGGCCTTGAAGAAGTACGATKTGCTAATCATGCCAACCTTACCAAAGAAAGCTCCAACTTTCCCCCCTAAGAATGCTACCTTGAAGGGTAAGAAATAAATACATCGTGACAATAGTCTTCTTCACGGTTACCTGCGTCATCTTGAAAAGTAGCCGTGCCTTTGCATCGAAGCGAGACGACCTTTGAGCGTGCAACGACCTTCAGACAATTAAACGGTTGTCTCGCTTCGATGTAAAGGCACGGCTACCTTTCAACATGGCGCAGGTAACCGTGAAGGAGACTATTATATCGCGTAAAATTACTCACATGTTGAATACTTTCAATTAAGAGTTCCTCGGGAAGGCCTTTGATATGGTTCCAAATACATGTCCATTCGATGTGACCGGTCACCCTGCCCTCTCCATCAACGCTGGCATGTCAGAGGGACTTCCCGTTGGTATGATGATCATTGGTAAAATGTTTGATGAGTCTACTGTGCTCAATGTGGCCTACGCCTATGAACAGTTACGAGATAAAAAGTGAAACATTCCAGTGTGGTTAAAAAGGCTTTTATAAGTAAAAAATAAGTGCACTTTGCATGCTTGAGAACGGAAAAATAGAGAACTGATATAAAATAAGCATTGTAMGTTTTTTAACGATAAAAGGCATTAAAAGGATAATATTCATTTATGTTTTTTTAATGAAGYTCGCTAATATAGCTTCGCGTTTCATGTCTTTGTATCTTCATAACTTTGRGGTTTTGAGGTTAACTTTCAATACCAAACTCAGTCGTGTTTCTTTTGATGAAGCAACCATGGTCAGTGGGATTACTAATTTTAGACAAGATATAACAAAAAAAAGCTAGGAATATTTCTTTTTTCATTTGAYGTTTTCCAGGTGTAAACCATAATATTCATTTGTTCTATAGAAGACTGATACTTCAATTAGTCGAATCTAATTTAAAGTGTTAGGTATTGATTGTATCGTCAATAACATTGTAAAATTCAGATCATAACATCTCATCAGTATCATCTGGGACTGGGAGAGAAACCCTACACGTGGTGAACATGGTGTTTATCATCCAGAACTTTCTCCACTCTCAATTCCACATTTCGTAGCTATTTCCGAGTTGAGTATTGAAGATATTCCAAAACAAAAATGGATCACTATAAGAGGTTTTCAAGTCTTCACATTGATATACCACCTGTGTGCATAGAARGTAATGTATTTTTAAACTGTCAGTTTGTWAGGGTCTTGCAATGCATCTTGGTCTTGGAATACGTTCTTCAGTGATCACTAATCAGAACTCAACGTTTTTTTCAATATYTGTATTTCAGTAAACTTGCCAATGTATCTCTCAAGAAATTAAACAGAAATTACCAAGGTGCCAGCTTGGCTCCCTCTAATGAAACAGTGTGCCCTGCAACGTGTATARCTGGTTAATTATCGAAACTTTTAATTGATAACACTGATAAGTTGGGATATAATACATGTCTGTCTGATGTCGAACGGCATATGATGCCTTAGGGATATTGGACAACAGATTAAACTTAAATTGGTTTCAGAATGAACACATGTTTCCATCATTGAGCTTATTAACCTGTTGACTCGTCTGGTCTGTCGATTAGATTCAAGACTCTTCTAAAATGTTTGTTAATCATGATACTGATTGGAACGCAACATAGTGGAACGGTGATATCACAGACTACGCCCAAAAAGAGTACAATTCCATGGTGTAACTGGAAAAACGTACAATGAAAACCTAAAAAAAATCAAATCCTTATTGCAAATAGAGTGTGTTCGCCGGCGCCTGTCATTTCTCACGTGATCAAATGAAAATCTTTTCCGAGAAYGGTAGGTTTTGGAGTACCTATCTATCAACACACTTTGCAGCTGWGAAGTAGGAGAAGTAGGAATAGCTTCAATGACTTCAATCCAGCTTAAAAAAAAAACTGAGTAAAGTCCAGCTTAAAAAAAACTGAGAACAACGAATCTACCATGGATACTACGATCATGGCAAGTAGTGTCTTATAGAAACGATACTCATGTCTTGACAACAATGATTACATTACAATGTACAAATGATTATGGATACTTTGTAATTCAGTAGCCGACTACTCACGTAACTCTACCAGTTTATAAAGAGATTCTTATTATTCTCCGTATTGTGCATCATTGAGTGCCGTTTACGTTAGGGAGTGCGTTTACGTTAGGGAGTGCGTTTACGTTAGGGAGTGCGTTTACGTTAGGTCTCAAAGGATACTGTAAAATCTATCGATACTAAAGTATGTGATTGACCAATCGCTGTGACGAGAAAAGATATCCCTCTAAAAGCCAAAAAATCCCTGAATTCAGGAAATATCCTAACAATGTTAATCTTCATAAGTCCTTTTGATGGATGCGTCGTCGACCTGGGACATAGCGACTACCATGGTTTAGCAGCCATTACCACATGAGAGATTAACTGGTACTGAATTTTTCTGTGTCTAGTAAGGAAATGTCATTGCGAGACAACAAAAATCCATAAAATATACATGTCAGACATAACATATCTTAAGCCAATCACATGTTTCTTTATCCATAAGGATAGAGATACCTCCCAGAGAGAAGATTTACAACCTCAGCAACATGTTGACACAATATATCAAGCAATCGTAATCGTGTTATTTCTAGCTGGTATGTAAAAGAAACGTTAATTAATCGTTGCGTTTTATATCAGAATAGTAAGGTATCACACATAAAGACTTGCTTTGAGAAAACTACAATAATTTCAGAGGCAATCACGACCATTTTCAAGTAATAAAAKGTCAATGTTTGTGGGCAGGGCTGATGGATTTGAACCGCAAATTGACTCACGATACATTTATTAATGGTTTTTTGCATATATCATGTATGGTAATACTGCCGAGTTTATGTGTAAACCAGTCCTGCGCACTAAAAAAAACACACAAATACTTACATGTAAGCTAAAATATCATCTTGACTTGATTCTGCATCAGTTAAGTGACTTGGTAAGTATCCGCGGCACTTCAAAACGCGAAGAGAACAATAAAATGAATTGGTTACAAACAGAAAAACATCCCCCAAACCCTGAGAACAGAAACACTTTGATTATCTAGTTCCAAAGGAGGTATTGTTTGATTTGACAATCATTTTGACTAGAGAAATTTGTTTTACCACTTTGCAAGATAGAAAAGATAAATGTTTTTAAATAGATTATCAGTACGCAGTGTCATCGCGTGGCCTTTTCGACCCTCTCCTTCAYAGAAAACCTAGTCATCAACTATAACTTATCAATTGAACATTTCATCAAGTTGTTTTTATAAAGTAGCAGTGTTGTTTACACCTCCTTGATGCTTTCTTCACTTACTTTAAAACAATTAGCAGTCAACAAAACCAAGAAAATGACATCGTTTGAAAATGAGTCCCTGAGCCATGTATCTGACAAATGCACGGATACATCAACTTGTGATGGTACTACGTGTCGATTTAATGTGCAAATAAAAATGGYGAATAGTCAGGCTATAGCGTGTTGCCTGTGCTAAGTGGATTGGCCTTCTTAATGACATGAGTATGTCCACAAGTTCGAATTGATTAGCATCAGAACTCTGTTTTATCACGGTTACCGCGAGATTCTCATATTTTATTACAGATTGTATCTCGACCTTTGTGGTTCAGCCGTGTTGGATAGGAATCTAGTGTTCATCGATAATCGCTTATGTAAACGCTTATACAATCTCTGTTGTCATTCAACCTGCTTCCACGTGATTTAGATGCATTGAAGTGTGACCAAAATCAACAGAGAAAGTGATTATTCGGTTTGCTGATAAAATATGCTGACTGCAGCTGAGACAGTAGAAACATCCTAATGTATTGATATTGACCGTGTATTGGTCTGGCCTCCAACAACGATCACCACATTGCCAATTCACGGCAACTATTACGCGCCTGAATTAATGAATGTCAACTTGATGAATTCTAACTCGCGGCCAGCTAATTTTTAATGTTTACATGTATGCAGAGAAGAGGRTTCTTGTTCTTGGATTATTGACAGTTTATCTCGTGGGATTTGAACTCTTTCTTTAGAGCATTTATCTGTTGGGAAGCTTGAATTCTCAGCGAGAAACCAAYTGAGCTTTAGCTGTGGAGCAATTCACTGCATGATAAATCGCTCGCCATGCTTTGGAGCAGACGATTGTACACTGTTTATATTCTTCTAATAATTGACACTACTCCTCGGAGTTGACGCTTCAGCTTCGATGGTCTCAATTCGACGAGTTATTTTATCCAAGTTATTGACCGTTCGACGATCTAAATGGATGCTTATTTTATTCACGCTAATACTGACTATAGCCGTACGAATTCTTGTGCAAGCTGGAGCTCGACTTTTCGAAGAATCGTCGTCTACTTCTGATGCTGAGTTTCTAGTTGGCTACAGCGACGATTTAGAAAGAAAAACAATAAAACAGAAAAATTACAAATTAACGTGGTTAGGAAAGGAAGACAATCATCGTAAGAATGACGGAAAACAAAGAGAATATCGCGAAGAAACAACAAACACAAAATTATCAGTGGAAAACGATTCTAACTCTGGTAGATCTAAAGTACAAACAAAACGAAAATTCATATTTGTGTTTCGATACTACGAACAGCTAGGTAGAGCCACGAGTAATTTACTCGCCTTGGCTTCATGGGCTAGGTTTAGAAGTAGTTATTTCGTAGCTCCGTTTGTAAACAATTCACGTATGTCAGGTCTGCCTGGAGGGGTCAGTCATTTCTTACGAGAAACAACTGCTTCAAAATTCGCTCCATTGGGAACTTATTATGATGTTAAAAAGCTGAATGAGAGTCTTAAAAAGCAAGGCTATGGTACTATTGCCACACTAGACGAATTTGAAAATCAATGCAATCATAGGTTGAACATTGTARTTCATTTTTTGTACTCTGACTCGGACGATCTCAAGGACGCTGCCGAATGGTACAGGAAAAGTTACAAGGAAATGCAAGACATATATAGTAAAGCGCAGGCCAATGGTGGATGGCTTCCGTGCTCATTCGTACGACATTCACGTCTTCAAAAGCAGCTTCGTTTCAAAGTCAGTCGATTTGTTTGCGTCGATCCACACATTATACGGTCGCCTTGGGAACTTGAAGAAAAGGTTTTGCAAGGACGACAATGTGTTGGTGTTGTCCTATGGAAAGGTACAGGCAAAGGTAGAACGCACTTTCCCATGCATCCATCCATATCCCAYCCTTTAGTCCCAGCTGATGTTCCATTTAATCCAGCACTTGTAAATATTGCCAGAAAATTTGTCCGAGACAACATTGGTAACAATTTTCTTGCAATTCACGTTCGTATTGAAAGACATTACATGCGTTTAGGAATGAATGTTACCTACAGATGTATGAAGAAACTCATTCGTAGAGTACTCGAAGCACGTAAACGTTTTGGGACAACTAAACTCTTTCTAGCCTCTGATCTACCAAAATATGGCTCAGATACGTTCAAAGAACAATCATCCACTCGAAAAGATCGTGAAGTACTTCTAAAATACTTACTAAAACAACTCGACTATCCGATTATGTATAAACCAAGAGATATTTACGACACTGGTACTATCGCTATCATCGAAATAAATATCCTCGCTGCTGGAAAAAAATTGTACACTCTCGGTGGAGGGAATTTTCAAGACTGGATCATTAATTTATTTCTGAAAAGATCTTCAAAGAGCAAGCGAGACGTCCACAGACTGTGCGAACTAACGTGAAAATCATGTCATCAAAATATTTGTACAAATGGTTTGGGAAATTATTAGTTCTAAATTGTAAGCGTTGCTCGTTAAATAAGAAGACTAACAAGGTGAAGTCAGATCTTTCAACACACAATCATCAATATCATCACATATCAACACAAGTAAACGCTTCAGCAACTTTACGTGTGTTATTTTACACGCTTCTTATATTTATAATCACAAATCCTTCGKCTATGTAAACACTGGTTCTTACATCATTGATTACGTCCATTTTTTGTGTATTTTTGCGATTAAGTCCGTGCTAATGGACTAGTAAATTCAGGAGGAAAACCTGCTTTGACAATAACATTAGAAACGAAAAAAATCGCTCTTATTCGTGCATCTGCATACGTCTTGTGTATTTTTTAATCAAAAATAAATGCCACATTTGAGGAAGTTCTTGAAAAGGCGCTTTAAAATAATTTTATAAAGAAAAGAGAAAAAGAGAAAGGTTATAAAAATTAATAGAAGTAGGTTGTTTTCGTGTTTTTCCTTCATGAAATTCTATCCTTTAGTTTAAATATAGCAATTTAGTTAAGTGTGGGAGGCAAATGAGAATTATTGCTTCTATTGTATCGATTTATTTATTTCTCTTATTTAAGTATTTCTACAATAGTATTGTAGCATTCCTAGAACTACTTTAATATTTGCTGAAATAAAACTTTAAGAATTTATTCCTGTTGTTTTCTTCTATTAACCCAGATTGTCAAAAATATATTCCATTTTATTCATTTTTGCTGGATATTTATTATTAACCTGTCCTCGTAGAGTGATTGCCCGAGGGAAAGAGATCCACCGAGCATTTTCTTTGTCCTTTGATAAAAAGATTGTCATACTATTCTCGATATCTACCAAGTCATATTTGTTTACATTTCTGTAAAATTCGAAATAAAAGGCGATACTAATCTTCCTTCTCCTTAGAGCAAATTATCGTTWCCGAGGAGGTTTGTGAGAAAAAACGTACAGCCACACAACAATAAGAATGCGTTCGGATGGCAATTCAAATATMAAAATTGTTTGAAACAAAACACGTACATGGTTGAAATGTTTTCATATATTTATCTTCTGTACAATCTTCATTTTAATAACGAGTAATTTTTCTTATTAATTCGGGTATATAACGTTTTTGTCGGGATTTATTTCATTAAACGCTTTTAAACTGACGCACAAGGTTTTAGCATMTTATTTTGCTAGACTGGTAATCTTTCTTTGAGTTGTTTGTCTGTTTGTATGGAAAGCCGATTATAAGTCTTAAAAACGACGCTTCCATTTTCTTTTCACTTTCATAAGCGGAAGCGCCGGATACGCTTTTCATCAATTCTTTCTTTACAATAAGGGCGAGTGGTCTGCAATTAGTCGAGAAATCGAGATGATAACAAAACGACGATAGCTTAATTCTTGAGCGTTGGAAATATTTATATAAAATCCCGTAGTGAATAGTAGGGGMATCGACTGTAGCCACCCCACACACAGTCTGTTGAAACGTACGCAATGTKAAATGGCTGTCCGGTTATAGTTTAATTTAAGGAAACGTGACTAGGGAGCTGAAATTCTAGTCTTGATTGTGATCTAATGAAATCTTTACAAAAAATGATTGTAACGATGGTAGTAAAATGAAATGAAGATGGTCTAACAAAAYAAAAAATAGAAATTTAAGAAATGAAAACTAAATTTTAACATGTTGTCCCCATCGGTATCAAAATGTAAATAAATCAAAGACAAACTACAGTCAAGCCGTGTTTACTGATAAAAACAAGTCATGGCAAGGAAAATTAAACGATAAAATAATGRCCAATACTGGGCAATACTCGACTAGGGCCCAATGATCTTTGCGTGAGTTGACTGTGGTGTCAGCTGGTGGATATTACGATTGTTATTCCATAAAATTATTCTCAGTTTTAAACTCTCCCACGGAGCACAGCGTTGAGYTCCAGCCATGCTGTGTTTCGCGGTACGTCTTACTTTCAGGAGATTCGAATAAACATGATTTGTTATGTAAACCTATATCCAAACTACAAGGTATGTCTATACATCAAGGAAATGACTTGAATGGCTGAGCTATTGAACTTTCTTTGGAATCATTATAGATCAGGCTTCATTTTCAAGCGATCCAGTAACATGGCCTTTTCTTTTCTATTTCGTACGGAATTAGAAGTTTATCATGAAATAGATATAAACACTTTACAGGGATCGTTTTTCAAGATCAGATACCTYTATTCCAAAGGAAAAGGCGTAAACGATTTTAGGTATTTTTTTTTCAGACAATTGTGTTAAACGAACAACGCGAAGTCTTTTGAAATAAACCTCCACGTCACGCTGTTTGAAAAGAGAAAGACTAAAGTGTCATTATAATGGTTTTATTTTAGCTTTCCGCATATAACCTTCCTTAAAACAGGAATTAGAAGAAATTGAGTTCGAATAATATTACCTCGCGCGCGCGATCACCATTTTGAAATTGAGATTTAGTTTGATGTCAAGGAAAGCGGTGTTCAGCATATATACAGTTATTTATGAACGACATGAAAGAGTTACGGTATCAAATGAAACTGACAACAACGAATTTGTGACTGTTTTGCCTTGTACAAACTACGCGGGTAGCTGACTAAGAGTCTAAATTCAACGCCTTAGAAGTTTGTCATATGAAATTCTATAAACCCGTCATCTCYTTAGATATTTGCGAGCGACAAGCTTTGGAAGTTCACAAGCCGAAGTTCAAATAAAACGAATYTAAAAGCGAACCATGTATGCATATGTCTAGTTCGGTAAATATGAGTTTTTAAATATGATTTTTAATAGCAAAAACTAGAGCTTACTCTCCATTGCCGTGCGTATAGATAGATTTGATAATCACAGGCTTGTGACGCAGGCACGGCCGGCAACTGGCAAGTTCATAAGTCGAAGGAGCATCTGTTTGGCACTTACTAGGGCTACAAATTACTCTGATTTATAATCTAATCGATGAACCTACAGCTGTAGTTTTTTAGGGAGGTTGATTCAATACTGAACAACACAAGGTCCTGTTGGAGTCGACCAGTGGTGCAGGTCTACGAGGTTTCTAGTTGGCGTCGTACWGTCGCGGTGTTTATTCGCTTCTTATGGTTCGTTGAGTCTCTATTTATCATTTATAGACAATATTTCTCGTTGGTCAACCTTAAGGTTATTACTGCCCCCATGCATGGACACATTTCATCCATAGTTATTATTAACTATGTTTCATCTAAATAGGGTGGTGCCACCATGCCGGACATGTGCTAAACTAGGTCACACCTATATGGATATTGTACCGTTATTGACCATACTATATAATATTACTTGAAGATATATATGCGACATATGCAAGTCTTGTGTGAACACACGAACAACAAGAGACTGAGCAACTATCGCCGCCATGTTGATATAAATTATCACCAATGCTTTGCGATCCTTATCCAGCATGGTGGCTATGAGGAAACGTGTTTGTTTCTCTCTAGATTTATTGCTACCTACATGCAACACTTCACGAAGTTCCTGTAGCGTAGCCTGTTCAGTCTTGCAATCGAGATCATGTGATGTTAACCATATGTAATACAAACATCATTTTTCAAAAGAAAAGAACTGCTCGCTGCAACAGTATCCTTATGGATCATAGAAACTAGTGCAAGGCTATAAGAGTACCTTATATAATGATTTCATCAATGAGTAAATAAATTACATTTAAAACTTGCTTTTGATTAGGATAAATATCCCGTTTTGAGTCCTCGGAAGTCAGCGGTATCGCACATGCTAAGTGAAATTCCTGTTTTTGGTATACAGTTTCGGAGAAGAATCTTCCTTTGATATCTCCTCACCAGTCCCCATGAGTTGCCTGCTAGACAGACAATACAGATAAAACAAGATCTGGAAATTTACCTCAAACAGTCTATATCTGAATTCCTCTCAATCTTCTAAAAGATACCAGATTCATAGACGTCCAGCGAATGACAATAGTTTCCAGGAATTCTATCAGCTTTCCTAGAAAACTACCGTTTGTTTTTATGAAAAAGTACCAACTTAGTTGGGACAAAAGTATAGTAATGTTTGCTAAGATCTACTTGGTTACACCAGTATAGCTTACTTTGTCAATGCATGTGATGCATTCTTGGGCAGAGTCTTGCTTTTCTTTTTCGTCCACGTTACTACTTATCAACATATCACCAGCAAAGAAGTAGTAGGTACAATAACGTATAGTTCACACTCKTTGACTTCCAGCAAAAGATACATGATGGTCAGTTATTATGTTTTTCAGAATATGCAGTAATCGTCTAAAATACCCATTCATCAAGTGTCATCGATGCCAAAGAATTWGCAGCAGAAATGGATTCCAAATCTTGTTCTARCGACCTTTCATCTTGTCGATGTGTTAGTAATGGTACATCAGATAAATACTCTGGAATTAAGTCTCTTGTTCTCTTTTTAACCTTAAAGAAAAATGAGAAACACGCTAAAAACGAACTTTCGCGCATGTAACTGTTGCCAGTAACAATACCATTACCGTCAACAATGTACGTGCCGTTGTGCGTTTTTCAAGTACCGTATTTTTTTCAAATTCCARCTACAGCTGTTATCAGTTGGATGTTTCCGGTGAAGAAAATCGATACATTCCCTCAGGACGGTCAAAGATCTGGGGAAGAGGTACAGAAAGGCCTGTTGTTCAAGATAACTGTATGTACCTACCTGTTTAAAGAACGAATGACCTAGCAAAGTGCCTGCGTACGGCCTGAAGATTGGAAAACGGGATAGAATGAATAATTATAGTATGATATACGTGAATCCAGTAAATGATCTGGTTATTACGTAAAATTGCGCATGAATTTTAACTAATTAATTGGAACAGAGCTGAGTTGTTAAAAGACTTATTAGTGTTATCTGTTTTACCTGCTATGAGGGTCTCTCTGAACACAAGTGTCAACGATCTAATGGAGAAAAAGAAATGAGGTGAGTCACTGAGCCATGTGGGATCAGACTCACAAATATTGTAAGAACATGCGCAATAAGTATTAAGTTTACTTAAAAACAAACTTAAGAACAAAGAAATTGTACGCACTTGGTGGAATGTGGAAGAAAACTTTTTGGGTGCTCTGCTGGACGAAGGGTCTTTTGCTTCTAATGCTGTATTTGTTGTAGTAGTTGTAGTGGTTGTTGTTGTAGAATCTGTGCCTATGGTGGAAGTATCAGACATATCTTGGGGAGCATCTCCGAGACGTGGTGAAGGGTTTTGTAACTTTTCCAAGAGAATCTAGAAATTATAAAAATACTGCTTATCAACGCTGATAAAGCCTGGTTAGTGATTCTGAGTTCAATTCATTCAGAATACTAAATTAGGAGTCCAGGAAGATAACTCATTACCTTGGTTGGAGGGTGTCCAGTATATGGTACAGTACCATGAGCCAGTTCAATTGCCAGAATACCAACACTATAWATATCAGCTGTGTAATGGTATCCTTGTAGGTCCTGGCGACAGCAATAATAACATTCAATTGGTTTTAATAAAGATTTACATCATCGCATCGTCATTATTGAAAACTGTGCACAGGAATCCCATTCTGTCCTGAGCTACCATTGCCTGTTTAACCTTTTACACAAAGAAATTAAAGCCAAAATGACTATTGTCCAACCAACCTGTTGTAATATCTCTGGAGCCATCCATGGTAAGACATCTATTGCATGCAGTGGAACATCAAATGCTACACCTGATGTATTTGTGTGAGGATCAAGTTTTACAGAATTTCTAAATCCTGATAAACAAACCATACCATCTGTTCCAATAAGAACATGCCCCCCTTTGATTCCTCTGCAAAATAAATGACTTTGTATCACAAAAGAAGGCTACAAAACACACAACCCACAACGACAACATGAATGATGAAAACAGCTACAACAATGACAACTTCAACAATGACAACATCAACAATGACAATTTCAACAATGACAACTTCAACAATGACAACTTCAACAATGACAACTTCAACAATGACAACTTCAACAATAATAACATTACCAACAATGGTCGTTACCTGTGGATGATTGACATTCTTTGTAAATATTCCAAACCTTGGAACAATTCTTTTAATATACATGAAATAAGCACTTCTGGCATTCCGTCTGGAAAACTGCCCATTAAAACATCTGTACAGGACCCTGTAAAAATTGATTATATTACAACTTCATTAAAGTATCATTTGAATTATTCTCACAAGGCAATCAAAGCTTTTCTCTGCATCAAGAACAAGCATATTAGAATATTATCTCTCATTGTTTAGAATTTGAAAATTGTTTCTAGAAAGAATGAAATTATGTTACATCCTTGACAGAACTACTGTTAGGGAAAACATTTAAAAATTAGCTATTACTTACCATACGACATTAAGGGGAATACAGTCCACAGTTCTTGACTAGATATAAAGGCGCTRTATAAAGGTAGTATGTTAGGATGATGTAATGACCTTAATATTTTCACTTCATGCTGAAAAGAAAAAAAATAATATTAAATTAAAGTTCTGATTTTGTCTTCCTGTTGTACCCATAACTAATGAACAAATCAGTTTCAATCTCTGCGATAAGTAATCAATCTGTGTTAACATTACTTTGGCTTGTCAAAGACCATCAAGATGGATTAATATCCAACTAACCTCCAAATCCTGTAGCTGGTGTGAGCTTTGAAAGTCAACATTGGTTTTTTTAACAACAATAAATGTTGAAGAAGGCTTATGAAGAGCAACATAGATTTTAGCAAATCCATCAAATCCTTGCCCTGTGAATAAGAGACCAAATAATTATTACTAAAATATTAATCATCATTAACTCAATAGTTATAAGATAGTTTATATCAGCCTGAGATTATACTCTACTATGATCATTTGTGGCACATATTCAAGACAAAAAAATAGAAATTGAGGCTATTTTTATTAGTYTTGAGACCCCCTTGAATAAACCCAGTTGGCGTTAATACCTATGCTCGTTGTGATTCTGTAGTCATGGTGATCAGGTTGACAATTAAGTACTGGTAAAGAACTTGTAAGCTGGTCAGATGACATGGCAGACTGCAAACAAACAAATACATTCTTTGAATCCAGGTTAACTTGAGTATCAGCCCTTCAAATGGGCTGCTTTTACTCACAAAGAACTTGATAATCAGGTTAAACTTGGGTTGAAACAATTGACTAGAAGTTTCCAGAAACAATTGYAGCTGTTGTTCACTCAAGGATTTTGTCAATTGCTTCAACGCTAATTCCAGGTCTAGTTTCATTGTTAAAAACCTCCATCATTTTACATTCACACAACATAAAATATAATTATTTATTCACAAACTCAGATTCTCAGATCAGTGGGATCATGAATAAATCAAGTCTTGAGAAACTAACAATTCTCTCTTCACTGTGATTTGTTATACTGTCTTTCATATTAATATAATTGCTTCCACTTGGTAAATTCACAAGAAATGAGCACTGAGCTCAACATTATTTAATCAGACAACAACATGACACTACATTCTGTAAAAAATTTTTTGTTGCTATGTAAATAAAAAAGACAACTATTTTTCTTATTTGTGTATTCTGTTTTGAAAACAAATCCTTGAAGTACAATGACAATAGTATTATAGGGGTAATATTAGAARAGTTTTATGTTTTGTTCACTAAGTTTACAAGTCTCTGAATAACATCTACCTTCATTATTTGTTACTATACCTTTTATAGAATGGATTGAAGCAGGTTATAACATAATTTTCTTTAAATATTCCATTTTCTTTTGCACTTAACAAATTCACAATTGGAAAAAGATTTACAACATAGAACAATGTGTATTTATCTAATAAATGCACAAAATAGAAAGATGGTATTTCTTTCAAAAAATAAATAAATAAAACAAAAAAAGCAATTTGGCTAAGTCAGTTTTGGTGTGTACTAATTCTAATATTCACCCTTATTTTAATAGTAAAACATTATTATTTCTACTAAACACTTGCTACAAGAAATTGTAAATTTTCATTTTAAGGAATATTTACTGTTCTCTTGATAATACTAACCTCGTACTTTACACTTAAAGAAAAATCCTTGTCTTTGGTAAAACAATGGACTATGTAAATCAAATATGAATGATATACTTTGGAATTTGTTGCATTGGCCAATCACTGGGCAGCTCAGTAAATATGAATGAAAAAAAAACAAAACTTGATCTCAAGAAATATTCAAAACAAAAACGAAATACAAATCCCATTCAATTATTAAAACCAGGTTCCCTGAGGACAAGTGGAAAATATGCATGAATTTAAGGCTCATCAAAGATGTGGTTTAGAAAATGCAAATTAATAGAGCTCTTCTGGGTTTTTGATCTTGAAGTTTTGATGTTTGGTTATCATCTGGTTGAGTTTCCATAAAAACATAATTAGGAAGCAGACTTCCTCAGTAGAATAATTCTGATATTTTATGCCAGATGGATTTCAATTATTGAAATAAAATAAAATAACAAACTGATGAAACATTTTCAAATTATTGTTATATATTTGTTTTGAAAAAATATTATGTAAAATAAAAACTCAACATTAAACATGATAAACAAATATTGCTGAAATAGCATACATTTTTTCAGCTAATGTTCGACATGTTCAATAAATAAGTAAAAGAGTGTGAAATTACGAGTACCTTTTTAGACCTTGGCGATCCCAACCTATGCATGATGCTTATATTAACACACTTTAGAGGATAAACTCATCCAAAACAGAAAAGAATTAATGGAAGTACATTCAACCAGACTAACCAGACTACATATACATGCCGTAATATCACATCAAAGAAACATTTTGTAGAAAGCCAAGTATGTATGCAGGTGGAAATCATTGATAACAATTATTGAGGTCATTGATTATTCAGTCTTTTGGCCTGTGGCATATTAACGGTAAACCTTTTAAGGAAGTATGGCTAATATGTAGCATAATTATATGGTCATTGAATTGATGTATATATATTATCTAAGCAATTTACTAAATGAGAATGAAATTCAACTAGAATACTGATTGCAAACATTACTGGTTTGAATGATAATATGTGAATAATGTTAAAAAAGAGTAACTAAACCCATAATTTGCTCTCCAGTGTGATTTGATCTTGTTTACTGACTAACATTTACTGTACTATTCCCATTAATGAAGTCCATCAATTAACCCCAAAAAATTCATACAAATTGATGAATTCAGAATGGAATGACATTGTGCATTATCGTAATCATCAATATTGGTCAATTCGTAATTATCAACATTAATGTAATCGTCAATATTGGTTCCAGGTTTGATTGATATACAGACAAATAAAGAGAGGAGCAATTTCCCAATGTTTACATGGGATCATATATCATGATTGACGGGAGACATTGATAAAGTCAGGTGGAGTTTATTTGCCCAGGTTTGATTTGAAAAATGTCAAATAGTAAAGAATTGTTTCAAAATTTCCAATGATCATGTAATATGGTCACATGGCATCAAAGTGAGGTACTATTTGACTATTTCATGACTTACGCTGTTTATCCTTACACTGTTTGGGTTACCTGTCCTTTCGAAGACAGACTCAGATACACAGACTAATAAAGTTGGTAGACCTAGACTCTGCCCTGCGCAGCCCAAGTAACAGTGTGGTTGAACATAAAAATGAAAATGCTGCTGTAACCATTTTCAAAATAGCTTGACAAAGTCAAAGTCATATTGAAAGGTAGCTGAGCCTTTTAATCAAAGCTCAGAATGTTGAGAATGCAATGATAGAAATCTTGTTTCATTTCTAAAGATATTCACAGGTGTCTAGCATTGCAGCCACCTCAACATTATATCTAGGCGTCCCACTTTGATGAAAGGCATGGCACCTTTCAAGATGGTGCAGGGAAACTTAATTTAAATAGTTTTTCTTATCATCCTACTCTAGTCTTCATCAAATGCATATATAATCTGGCTGCCAGACCCTGTGCTTCCCCCTTGGCTAGCTCAGTTCTATATTTCTCTCTCTCAGCCTGCTACAGTCCTTACCTGATCCTGGTCCCCTTGTGTTCCTTCCTCAGCAGGCGCAACAGCTATGCTAGCTTTCTCTACACAGACACACTAATATAAAACACATTAATCAGTATTAAATCAATGCATTATCCAGTAAAATTCATATAGAAAACTACCCTAAATTAAGCTTACATTTGTTTTTTCAGCTTAAACAGTTCTCAAACAAGAAAACCAAAATAACGTGCATTATTAAAAAAACATTAAACTTTGGACATCGTGCACAGATTAAACTTGAGTTTATACTCACCAAATGAGACATATATCCATTCAGGATACCAAAGACTATCTCTTTTAGTTAGAAATCCACGCAAGATAAACCCTCTCATGTCGCCTACATGCCTTCAAATGCATCGTTTTGATGCTTTTAAATGTGGTTCATCGATATTTCTCAGAATATTATTAAATTCATTAAAATGTAGGGAGTACTGCTGTTCAAATAGTAAATACGTTATTGAAAAATAGGTTATTTAAAAAATACTAAAACTACTTGTTCCTTTCTTTGATGTCAACGAGAAGTCGGTATAAGAGGTAACCGCTGACCTTAAGAAACGTCGTGATGAGAGCTTTTTGTTTAATTAACAAAGGTCTATGGCTTAACATCATGTAATCCTCGGTAGTATAGTGGTGAGTATCCCCGCCTGTCACGCGGGAGACCGGGGTTCGATTCCCCGCCGGGGAGAGGATTACTTTTTCTTCCAAGTTCTATGGTTATTCTTTTTTTTAATGATAACACCTCAAACGTACTTACCATCCAAAATAAAGTTGAAGTTCGATAATGGGCACTTTTTTTTGCAGTGAAACTTTTGAATCCGTATTAATCAGCAAGCCGAGAGTATATTAATTTTATTCACAAATAATTTCACAATTAATAATAATTATATAAAAATTCTAAAAATTACAATATAGAAAAAAGTTAAAAAATTACTAAAATATTAAATTTTACAATAATAATGATAACGATTAAAATTTATAAATATAACTATGCATTAATTAATTAGTAAAAAGAATGAAACTTACATTAAATAATTTACTAAAGAAACGTCCTATTATTTACAAAAAAAACTAATTCAAATATCTGCAGAGTTTACATTTAATTTAAAATCGAATAAAAAGTCATTGTTCTTGTAAAAGGGGACTCGTGAACCACGTATACATAAATTAATAGATTTGATGATCTCAAAGGATAACTTTGTTCTTATGTAAGTTATTGTTTCTGCATACGTGTTATTAGTTTTCTTAGCGAGTTTTTCTGCTAGTGCCTTTAAGAACATATTGCATTCTGATCCCGTTCCACCGTTGGTTCCAAAGATGAGGGGTGTGAAAGTTCCCATATCGACATCTTGGATTCTCTCTGCATATTTTCGTTTCTTTTCTTGCTCTTGCTCTTGAAAGATCGTATTGGTGGTCTTGTTCTGGTTGGTTTTGGAGTTGACATGCGTTACACGTACGTCGAAAAATGCTGTAACTCCTCTTTGCCAGAAACNAATTTTACAATAATAATGATAAAAAAAAAAATTTATAAATATAACTATGCATTAATTAATTAAAAAAAAAAATGAAACTTACATTAAATAATTTACTAAAGAAAAAAAAAAATATTTACAAAAAAAACTAATTCAAATATCTGCAGAAAAAAAATTTAATTTAAAATCGAATAAAAAGTCATTGTTCTAAAAAAAAGGGACTCGTGAACCACGTATACATAAATTAATAGAAAAAAAAATCTCAAAGGATAACTTTGTTCTTATGTAAGTTAAAAAAAAAGCATACGTGTTATTAGTTTTCTTAGCGAGTTTTTAAAAAAAAGCCTTTAAGAACATATTGCATTCTGATCCCGTTCAAAAAAAAGTTCCAAAGATGAGGGGTGTGAAAGTTCCCATATAAAAAAAATCAGCAAGCCTGTCTATTTGCCTTATTGCATTATAAAAAAAATTTTTGTATTATTTGTCTATTTGTCTGGAAAAAAAAAAAAAACCATGTGTTCCTGGGAAAAAAAACAGCCAACGAGAAAAAAAATTAATCTCTGAAATCATTTTATTAAGTATGTAGCAAAAAAAACTTCGTTTATAACTAGTAGTAATTACTGAAAGATAAAAAAAATTGCTCCAAAGCATCGAAAAATGTGTTTTTTTATAAAAAAAATTTATTAAAAAGGGTGCTCAATACACCTGCATCAAAAAAAAAAGTCAAATAGCTGGTGAAGCACTCTGTCCACTATAAAAAAAAAAAAAATAATAATTGTAATAAAAGACAAAACCGAATAATTGTAATTTATGAGCATTAACGAGTTATAGAAGTAGCCAAAAAAAATGATGTTTTCTCTCTGACCGACTCGACTGACAAAAAAAAAAAGTTCATACAGAAGTACATATGGTTATGTACTTCTAAAAAAAAGCAATAGTAGCCTCTTCAACACGTTTTACATGAAAAAAAAAATATTTTGAATAAGAAAATTGATATCATAAAGTATAAAAAAAATAATTATTCTAGTGCGAAATTTGATGAAAAAAAGAAAAAAAAGGTTATTACGACTATCTGTCCAAACACTAAAGAATTGAAAAAGTCACTATAGTAAATACTGCACTGACATGTACATAAAAAAAATATCTGTGTATCACGTCAGTGCTAATTAAAAGAAGTTCTGGATATGTTTCTTTGTCCACTCGAGTTTACATTCATAAAAAAAAAAGCTGGATGGCTAAATTACTAATTCTTATCGGAAAAAAAAAAGGGTAAGCTTTGGCAAATATTAGATCTCCAAAGTGACGGCTCTGTGTACGTTTAGAGGTGTTTTCTGTATTCAGCAAAAAAAAAAAATCATTGTCCCTGTAAAGAAATAACAAAGGAAAAAAAAAAAGAGCAACAAAACTAAGCAAACCTCTGTAAACTTAAAAAAAACTTCATGTCACCCTTCACCAATAACACGACCTCTGTCCTCCGTGCCTCAGTCGAGGTTTACTGCCAAGTTTTCGTGAAAAAAAATATTGGAGCAACGACACTTATTGGAAATATTCTTAAAAAAAATGTAATCTACCTTGACTATCGCCTTCACCGTCCTAAAAAAAATTTTATTGCAAACCTCTCAGCGGCTGATCTCCTGGTTGGAGGTCTCTATATCCCATTTTATGTAGCTGCTGTTTTCAAAAAAAAGTGGCGGTTTTCAGACACATGGTGCAAGGTACATAAAAAAAACATTTCTGCAAGTTTCAATGCTTCGCTGATAATGAAAAAAAACGTAAGCGTAGATCGTCTCCTGGCCATTACCAAGAAAAAAAAGTCAGTATTATAGTCCTAGTGTTCAATATATCCCAAAAAAAACTGTTTGTCAAACATCAAAAAAGCGCTAACAATAAAAAAAAATGTACGGATATATACAGTAGCCTTCAAGTTGTTTAAAAAAAAACTGACTATTCGTCTATTTATTCTTGCATTTACTAAAAAAAAATCATCGAATGGATCGTTCGACTTTCAAATTCATAAAAAAAATTACAGCTTCAATTGAATATCCCGCCGCGAGGATGGCTTATTATATACCAGATAACTGACGGTTAAATGAACAGATAAAAAAAAGCAAACAAAGCTAAGGAATTAAAGCATACTTTTAAAAAAAAAAAAAGGCGGCGGGAAACTATTAACCAGTCACTGAAAGTCACTAGTGCAGTCAAGTGCAGAAAATAAAACACTTTTAAAAAAAAATCAAAAATAAGAAACTTAATATTAAACTAGAAATAAAAAAAACAAAAACAACTGATTCCAAAACTTACGCCATGGAAAAAAAAATGAACTAAAAAAAATCAGCTTAATTTGAATTAAAAAAAAAAAACGGCGACTAGCGGACTGATTCGTATTCAGATTGAAAAAAAAGGGAATCCTTCCGACACCTGTGCTTACTTCCCGCAAAAAAAAGTTAACCTACTGTGTCACATTATAGTTTGTAATGACAAGGTTTATCCCCTGTAAATGATGAAAATTGAAAAAGAAGAAAAAAAAATCAACTAGAAAGCAGTTATCAAGATGTCGTGTTAAAAAAAAGGTAATGATGTTTGCCAGGCCGATGGGAGGTAGAAAAAAAAAAGGAAAATACGTCCTTCACTTTATGGCATCCATCAAAAAAAAGTTCCATCTAAAGTCCCATAACGGTGTTAATCTCAAAAAAAACGTCAAACGCATTTTCACCCGGAATAGTGATAAAAAAAAAAAAGATGAACACATCATATTCCCTTCATATTCATGCAAAAAAAATGGTTAAGCCGTGTTCTTTGAAGATTTGCAAAGTAAAAAAAATTTGTAGGGGCGCCGCGGATTGCCAAAACTGATGTTTGTCAATATACAATGTTTAGTCAGCTTGATGCTTCCACTGAAAAAAAATTTTGAAAAACTGTTTTCCGTCGCTGTATTACATAAAAAAAAGTTTGAAAGACGTCAATCTAATACGCAGAGTTCCAAAAAAAAAACCTAGTCTTGTTCTTTGTGTCGATTTGCCGACAAAAAAAACCGTCCGATTAGATGAATTGAAATTAAGACAAACAAAAAAAATTTTTCCGGTTTGACATTGGTCGACACGGCGAATAAAAAAAAATACAAACATTCTCAAGTGCGGATGGAGGTCTACAAAAAAAATACACCACTATTTTGAAACGATCAGTGGGTTCTTAAAAAAAAATTTCTTTAAATAAAATATTGCGTTTTTGGGATGAAAAAAAATTCAAGGAATGATTAATTAGAAAAAAGGATGTTGAAAAAAAAAATTGATGTAGCGGATGACCCCTAATTCACTAATAAAAAAAAAAAACTAACAGGAAACATCCAAGCTTGACTGAAAAAAAAAAATTTTATGTATGCTTCGCGGTTTCGATAAGTTCTAAAAAAAAACGGCAAGGTGCAATGAATGGCTTGATATCAAGAAAAAAAAAAACAGTACGTATCTTTTAATAACTGATTTGTAGTTAAAAAAAATGTTAACTTGGTCTCAAACACTGAATACATGAAAAAAAAAAATATCCCCATCACGTAATCTTTCGAGAATACATCAGAAAATATTATTTGAAATAAATAAACAACATTCAGCTTAGATAAAAAAAAGATTGGTTTTAATTACCGAGGGAGGAAAACCCGTAAAAAAAACAGGAAAAACCCTCGAAGCAAGGCAGAGAACAAAAAAAAAAACCTGCTTAACTACAGAAAATAATTAGACCTCTCTAAAAAAAAGGCGCCACAAAGCCAAGCGCCTAAGGCAAATGTTAAAAAAAAGTGATAAAATCAGTCAAATAATGTGTTTAGTAAGAAAAAAAACCTTTGTGATGCTAAGGAGAGAATGAGATAAAGCAAAAAAAAATTGTGATGACGTGGAAATAAATAAATGAATAGAAAAAAAAAACCCGTCAAATAGACGTTAATGAAGTAATAATAAAAAAAAAAATAATAGTAATAATAATATAATAATATAGTAATAAAAAAAAATATTATTATTAAATAAATGAATAGAAAAACAAAAAAAAAAAAATAGACGTTAATGAAGTAATAATAATAATA